ATGGTGAGGCACTAAGCAACTCAGTGAGACCCTGTCTCTAAATAAAATACAAAATAGGGCTGGGGATGTGGCTCAGTGGTCCAGTGCCCCTGAATTCAATCCCTGGTATCCCCACCAAAAGTAAAAATAAAAATTAATAAAAGGGCTAGGATGTAGTTCAGTGGTAGAGCATTCCTGGGTTCAATCCCTAGTACGCCGCCCCCCTCCAAAAAAAAAAGAAAAAAATCGATATTTGTTATTCCTTAAAGCTTCTGAATGTCAGATCCTGAAGCAGCCCAGCAGGGCCCTGGCTGTGTCTTCCAAGCTTGCAGTTGGGTTATCAGCAGGGGCTGCAGTGTCATTTGAAGGCTGTCTGGGGACTGCAGGAGCTGCTGCCCAGACAGCTTCTCTCACTATAGGGGTATGCCACTCAGAGCCTTGGGGACCACTGAGCATCCTCACCACATGGTGGCTGCTTCCCCCAGGCAAGTGGACCAGGAGAGGGCCAGGTGAAAGCTGCAGTGTACTTGACAATCGGGTCTCAGACATGCTTCCACTATTCCTTGCACGTGAGTCACCAAGTCCAGCCTGTTCCCAAGGGGAGAAGAATTGAGAACCACTTCTGGGTCCAGGAATCAGAGACATGTTTTAAGATTCAGCTTTGACATTCTGGAAGTGCTTCTGAAAAGTTTGACTCTCAAAATCAGAGCTGGTGGCTGCCAGGCTTGCTCTGGCACACMCGGTGCCTCCCCTGCCTGCAGTCCATGGTTGACCTGACAGCAGAACTCCTGGCCATGGCAATGGGCACAGAGCCTGGACCCAAAGCCAGAGGCTCTAGGCCAAGTGGAGAGGAAAGCAGGGTCCAGATCCYCTCCCCTGCCACGAAGCCCCATACGGCCTGCTGAAGACCCAGACAGGACGCCCTCCCAGCTCTGTCTCTGGCACTCACAGGCTGGGCCCTGGGAACACAGCTGGCCTTTGGAGCTCTGTGTGCCCAGCACCGGGCTATGGGCTTTATATATGTTACCTCAAAAGAGCTGAAATCCACCCCATGGACAGAGGAGTGAAGCTCAGTGAGGTCCACAACGAGTTCCGTGCTGAGCACTGGGAGGTAGCATCAGGCTGACTCTGTGCCATGCTGGATGGACAGGGCACCTACTGCGTGGTCAGTGGAGAGGAAAGGGAGCTCAGTTTGGAGACTTCCAAGGGGAGGAAGATTTGAAATGGACTCTGGCAGTCTTTTGGGGGGAGGGGGTACCTGGGGTTGAATTCAGGGGCATTGGACCACTGAGTCACATCCTCAGCCCTATTTTGTATTTTATTTAGAGATAGGGCTGATTTGCTTAGCGCCTCTCTCTGCCTGAGGCTGGCTTTGAACTTGCAATCCTCCTGCCTCAGCCTCCCAAGTCTCTGGGATGATAGGCGTGCACCACAGCCTGTCCTCTGGTG